TTAACCGACTGCGCCACCCAGGCGCCCCTCAAATCATTTGTTTTTAATGAGGAAGCAAATGCTGAAATGAAAATTTGACATCCAAAATACGTACTTCCAGTTTGCCAAAGAACTCCACCAAATTCTTTGGAGGAAGAACAATAGAAGTATTGAGAGGCATCAGATAACAGTTCCCTAGGAGCAAGTCCAGGTAAGCAGTCATGCCCTGTTGGGGAAAGGGAAAAGTTAACTATGATGTAAAGAGCATTAATTCTTCAGATTGTAACTACCATTATAACAAGTAGCTACATACTTTTAAAATCTGCTAATGTATATTCAATAGCAAAAGATTGAAAAAGGGTTTGCTGCAAAAAGATGTACATTTATGAACAGATTTAATACTTACTAATAAACTAAGAAAAAAATCAGGAAAACCTAAAGAAGGGAGAAATCCACCTTTTCAAAGTTGTGAATAATTGCTGCAGGATCACTATCAGAGAAACTGGGGACAGGCACATCAATGATTGCGATGTTGTCATCTTCACGGATGTCAGCTTCCTCTGTCACAGGCAGGAAGTAGGGCGCTGCTCCTTGAAGGGAATTTGCAGGGTCTTCAGAGTCAAAGAAGCACATCTCTCCATGGTAGATGGTATTCTAATAGACAAAAAGGGAGAATTAAAAACTTTTAATACTTACTACCATGACATTTGAATCATTCCTCACACTCACATCAATTCATTATACAGTTTGTCAAGCTGAGGATTTCTGATTACAGTTGTCACCATGAAGACAAATTAATTTTAGAAATTGAATGGTAATTTGAAAATCTGTCCTAAATCTTAATTTCTCTGGTGACCACCATAGATTTACTTAAGTTGATACTACAGGTATAGCAATTAGTAATTCAAATTATAAGGATTATAATTTTTATTACCTTGGGCATGAAGTTCTTGTAAATGCAGGCTCCACCAACAATAAGTCCTGCCAAGATGAATGAAAGGCCTAAGAGAGTAAGCATGCATCTCCCAGAGGAGCCCTCTTTTTCCTGGGTGGCAAACTGGAGCTCCTGTTTATTAAAAAGCAAGACCAAAAACAAAAACCAGATTGCACTTTTAGTCACATAGCTGCTTTGTACATAATTTACTTTCTTGAAATACCACATAATTTTTAAAAGATGTTATTAAGTCATTCTAGATTAAAATCATTTCCAGATAACTTCTGATATTTAATAGATGTAAAAACATCCAATTATATTAACCTTCCTTCTGGCATTTACAAATCCAACTGCAGACATGAAGTTTTTTCAAAATACACACTTCTAGAATCAGCTGAAAATAACAATTCTTTTATGGAATAAATTATCCTTTTTAAATAAATGGAAGTTGTTAATTTTTAGACTTTTATAGTGATAGAATCACTAACCTTCTTGAATATAATTATGTTGCTTTACTATTTCTTGTAAATCAACTTTTTTGCCAATTTAAAGGTGAATTAATGTATTTTGATTTATTAAATGATTTTCAAAAAGCCAGTTTTAAAATTTGTTTTATATAAAAAGTTCTATAAGACATATGTATGTCATTTCTCCCTATTCTAGAAATTAAAATTTTGACAATGAGATATATTTCTTAATGTTCCTAATTTTAGTGAGAAATTAGCCTTTTCAATATCACCCACTGTTCTGTAATTATTTACTGCATGAATGTAATAATGATTTCCAAATTCTGGATAAAACACTAGATTTTACAGTACAAGATTTGTGATAGCTAGGACCAAAAGCTGTGCATATAACAATAAAATTCTGTTAAATCCATAATTTGTTCAGGAATTGGAACCAGAAAGATCCAAAGCAAACATGTAACTGATTAACTCTGTATTCTTCCGAAGGTAATGGACCATGGGACCCTCCAATCCCATTCTTTTATTTTTTATTTATTTGTTTATTTTTTTAATGCTTATTTATTTTTTGAGACAGAGAGAGACAGAGCATGAGCAGGGGAGGGGCAGAGAGAGAAAGAGAGACAAAGAATTCAAAGCAGGCTCCAGGCTCTGAGCTATCAGCACAGAGCCCAATATTGAGCGCAAACACAAGAACCGCCAGATCATGACCTGAACCAAAGTCGGAGGCTTAACCGAATGAGCCACCCAGGAAACCCCCTCCAATCCCATTCTTGTATGTCACAATATGTTCTAAGCAGCATTGTATTATTATGCAAGGATAGAATAAATGATATCAGCGAACTTTGTTTCTTGTAATTAGTGGGTAAATCATTCAGACTGGTATAAAAATATAATTATTGTAGTATTTTAGGACATTAATTCTTTTCCATGACAACTACTATAAAGGTTATGGCACCCAATTCACCTTCAATTAATCTGGTGAAAATAGATGCATGGATTATAAGGAGAGACAATTATTTGGTAAATGGCTTGTCAAAAAATTATATTTCTTTAAAATTCAAAGAAGTTTGGTATTCACATTTTCTTAGCTAAATTCATTTAAATTGAAACCTTCTATTAATACTGTATAAACCTTGAAGGCTGTTCCTTGTCCCAATAGTTTTCAAAACTTATATATTATTTCTATCAAAAAACTAACCTAAAATTAACATTACAATAGCAGAATTATAAATTATGACTGTGAATCACAGTAATCTAGAGCTAGAGACTTAGCAATTATATTTTAGATGATTAAATTGAGGTCCAGGGGCGCCTGTGTGGCTCAGTCGGTTGAGCATCTGACTTCGGCTCAGGTCGTGATCTCACAGTTCGTGAGTTCGAGCCCCACGTCAGGCTCTGTGCTGACAGCTCGGAGCCTGGAGTCTGCTTCAGATTCTGTGCCTCCCTCTCTCTCTGCCCCAACCCACTTGCATTCTGTCTCTGTCTCTCAAAAAAAAAAAATAAACATTAAAAAATTTAAAAAATGAATCTTTAAAAAAATAAATTGAGGTCCAAAGAGATAAAGAGACTTGCCCATAAGTCACAAAATGACTTAATTTGAAATACTCAAAGCAATGAATTTATTTTTTTTCTTGTCACTGCAATATGAGAAAAGCAATTTACACTGCAATTTCATTTATTATTAAGCAAGGTCTAAGTATTAGAGTTTCAATTTAATAAAATTTCCTACCATTCTAGGAAGGATTTTTTTTTTTCATTTAAATTTGCTGGAACTCAGGATGGCATGGATTCTCATTTACCATAGCTAATTTCTCTCTAAACTGTATTGTAAAGTCATTGTACACAACCTCTGACATACTATTCTGTTGTGATCAGTTTCCTTTTTTTAATTTTTTAAACGTTTATTTATTATTGAGAAACAGAGAGAGACAGAGCATGAGCATGGGAGGGGCAGAGAGAGGGGAGACACAGAATCTGAAGCAGGCTCCAGGCTCTGAGATGTCAGCACAGAGCCTGACACAGGGCCAGAACTCACAAATGCAAGATCATTACCTGAGCCAAAGTGGGATGCTTAACCGACTGAGCCACCTAGGCGCCCCAGTTGTACTCAGTTTCTAATGAGCAGATTAATACATCACAATATAATGTGCCAAGTATTATTAAATCTGTGTCCTGTAGTGGCCAGGTCAAGATCCTGTGGAAGCTTCTCCAACATCTAAAAAAGAAATATAATCATAGTACTAATGTTCATTTTTGTTTATTCCTCATCACACCACAGGCCTAGAAGAAGTACTGCTTGCATATTAACTGTATCCAACTACAAATCATGAAGTTTTTGGTCGTGAGAGAAAAATAAAGGGATTACTGTGTGGCTATATTTAACTACTGGCATCTGATTAGACCTCCCAAAAATCTGGCCATGTTTCACTTACAAAGTGAGTAGGACAGTTACATATTTGATTTTAAGTCATTTAATCAAAACTTCCACAATGCAAGGGAGTTTTACTTTTGAGTTCTGAAATGTATAATACCCAAAAGCGAGTTTGATTGCTTGGTTAAATATTAAACATTTCTGTGATAAAAACTCTGCATAAGCACATAAGCATTTCAAATTGTGTGCATAATAAGTTTTTACTACATGGATTCTCATTTCACTCAAAGTACTTTTAAAAACTCCACTCTGAACACAGAATTTAAAGTTTTAAAAAGAGAAGATGACAAGTTAAGACAGATCTGGAAACTGATACTGCACAGATTTAGTAGAACAAGAAAGAAATACAATTGTCCCTTTTAACATTGAGATTTTACTGAGGAAAACAAGTAGTTTCCAAACACTGAACCATGTTAGATGTTTAAAGGAAATAGAAATTGGACTAAATAAATAATGGCTAACATTTTGGGGGAGAAACTACCTCAATTTCTGGCAATGCTAGAAGTTTAAATTACAAGGTCGGACCTGCTTCACATTTCTCTACGGGGGAGGTGGTAGAAGGGATATCACGAAAAGGAAGTACTTAAAAGAAGAAAAAAATAAACCTCAACATTTCTTTTTAGGGATGAAGAGTGCTGCCTTTAGGAAATGCCTCTAGGAAAACATACAAGGATCCTGCAGTAAGAAGTCACAGTGAACATCTCAAATTCTAATTAAAACCAACCTCAATTTTGACAGCTCCTTTACCAAATGCTTAAAACTGCCTATGACTAGGGAGAAATTGAAAATATACACAGGCGTACACAGACACATACTAGTCTCAACCCATACAGCTTTGAGTCAAAGCTGTTCTTTGCCCCACAGCCCACCCCCACAAACATTCAGAAATCCTAGAAAGATTTAAATTCATAGATCTTTATCCATACCAAAAGCAAACAAAGAACAATTAAATCTCTTCCCCTTGCTCACCGTATCTGCTCCATCCCTGCGGATGCTCTATGCACCCCTGGAGCTGGACACTGAACAACGTGCGTCTAGATGATCCTCAGCACCCCCCCACACACCAACATTTTCCCCAGGAAAGGGTGACATTGGGTCCCAAGGGTTCTCCTCAAACGCTCTCTAACTTCCCTTCAAGAGATGTACCACATGGGCTAGAACCCACGGAAAGTAGTGCGATGCATGGGGATGTTAAGGGGCGTGGGGCACTACAGAGGGAAGGCGGCCTGACTAGAGGGAACTGGAGAACCAGTAAACCAGATCAACAGAGCGGAGAGGGCAGCTTTCATTTTGTCCTCCATCACTTGCCTCTTCCTTCCCCCCAAATCACCCCCTCTCCACCTTACCGACCCTAGCAGGCAGTCTGGGGTGGAGTCGGTAGTGCTACCTTGCGGGTCAAGATCTGAGCTCCCACCGTTCGGTTTACAAGGGCCTCCACGTCTTGCCGTGCCTCCTCTTTTTGCACCGCTGTGACTGTATTGAAGGCTATTTTCACCATCGTGTATCTTTGGGCTGTGCGGTAAGGCTTGGCTGGAATTAACGTCTTGGGTTGCAGGTTGTAAAAAGAAGAGATCGCGCTAGCCCTAACAGGACCTACTTTCTCCCTTGCCTGTCTTAAGCAGCTGCAAACCCAGGTTTGGGGATACTTATGACGAAGACCTAAACTGGGTGGGAGACTGTGGGAGGGCCCAGGGAAGGGCTGAGGGAGGAGCGGGAGGGGGTCCAAATGCTGGGTTGGGGGTGGGGGTTGCCCAAGAGGAAAGAGAAGGGGAGGTGGAGCCCTTGGGCAGCTGGGGCTTGAAGTGCCTCACCTGCTCTCCAGGCATGCTCCCACCCACCCTCTGCACCCTCAGATAAGAACAAGACAGGAAGGAAGTCTGCTGTATTGTGTCTTTCTGCCTCTGTCCAGGCCACAATAGCCCTTGAGTCTGATTTTGTTTTCCCAAACCTGAACCTGCCTCCCCCGAAGGGGCCAGGAACTGTAACTTGGCACCAACTCAAGCTTCCTCAGCTGTGCACTGAGGAAGGTCCCAAAAGCACAGTCCATGACTATTGTGTACCTTTATAATAATACCTTCCCTTTAAAGAACACTCAGAAGTCTGTTTATAGTTACTTGGTTTATTCTCTCATCATCTTGTTTTCTTTCTTGGCGTTTGTTTGCTTTGTAACTTCAGTTCCCCAACCTAGAAATAAATACATAAATAAAAATCAGAAATATAGCACTCCTGCCTCTTCAACTCCCCATTTTGCAGGTAGGACAAGATGACACAGAGGAGTGTGGAAAGCTCATAGTGAATCTATGAAATAATCCAGACCCTTTCACTTTCTCAGATCAAGGAAACCAGAGTAAGGTGTCAGTACAGACCTTGTTTCTCTTCAGCCACTAGTTGTGAGATCTGCAAAGAGAAAAGCAAAGGTATGTATACCTATGCATTTAGGGAGGTAGAAGCATGAAAAAAAATAATAATCCCAAAGAGGGCTGAGTTAGAAAGCATTATTAGAACATTTACATGTGCAACTAGTATAACCATGCCATTTATTCACAATCAAGATCAGATAAGGTATAACAACCAGCCTACCTTAATGCTATTTCACTAGATTCCAACTAGTAAATTGATCTTAAAAAACAAACAAAAAAATAACACTTCAGAGAATTGACTAAACCCCCTGGTAGACTACTGTTTAATAGCAAGACAGAGGAACTAAAGAATTTTTCACATCATTAAGTTTTGTCCTATTAAAATACAACACCCTTGTTTTTCTTTTGACCTTGAAGCCTCCAAGCCAAATGCAAAAATAAATGTACCTTCTTTAATCTGAGACTCATTTAGGAAATAATATTTTTATCAGAAAGTTAGTGGCTTTTTTTTCTTTATATATATTAACCATTACACAGAGCTTCCCACCCTTCCCCTACACCCAACCTAACAAATCTTGATTACTCGCTGACATTCACTAGAAAATTAGAGTAATGTCTTAGGAGAAAAAAGTTGGTCTAAAGGCATAATGAAATCTTAGTTTCCCCCTCTTCCTCCTCTTTCTAGGCATAAGAAAGAACCGTCATGTGCCTCCTTTTCCTTTCCAGGCCTTGCTTCTACTTGGCTTTTTTCCTCCTCCACACACTGCCTGCCTGGGGAATGCATAGAGTAGGCTTTCTTTATTGTACACACAAGCCCCATTTAAATCACTGAGGGCCCTAACAAGACTCCAGGCCTCATTCCCAGTCCCTGTTTGCATTTTAAACAGCTTTAGCAGTTGTGCTGAGGAGCTCTCTATCAGAACTATTGTCCTCTGTATTTGCTTGTGTGACTTATGTTTGATGTTTGTTCTCTTTGAACAGAAACTGGAATGTTGAATGACAGGCCTGGGCCCTCTAGTCTTTATATTCCACTCTCTCCATTATGCTAAGTCAGCAGAGCTAAATCTGCTCACAGTTTTATGGTCCTAAACCTGTAAAGAGTGTATTTGCTAAGCAACAAGGAGTTTTCAGTTTTCTGGTATGTACTTTCTTTTAGAAATCTGGAAGTAGATGCTTCTGCTTCTTTACCATACTCCTGCTCCTTGTTAGCTGCCTGATATTTATCAATATAATCTTTAAAGAGGTGTATTTGGAGGATAGAAGAAAGAGATGTGAATTGGAAGTCTAAATCAGTTCTGTAGCTTCCCAATTTCACAGAACTCAAACCTCAAACTGAAAGCCATGACATAACTAATGTCTATATAAAGACAAGATTATTATAAATATACTTGTGCCTTATAAATGGGTCCCTCAGAAAGGGCACTACCAACATAGCTATGTCTGAAGGATTTGTTCTTTCAAAAACTGGCAAAAAAAAAAAGAACAAGACCTTATAGAATCATAAAATATCAGATTTGGATGGGGCCTTAAAAGTTGGGTTCAATTCCCTCTGTAGCTGCCTAGTGAACAGGTGTCTTGCCCAAAGTTCAGTCAGTTAGCAGCAAAGGGAGTCTGGAAGTCTGTTTCCTCAGTTCTTTCTATTATACTTTGCTACCTCTTGTGTTTAGTGTCTTCTCTGACCCAGCTGTTACTTATAATTAAGCTTATATCCCTCTTCCACAAAAACACTTTGCACAGAAAAATCAAATAAAAATAATTTTAAAAAGCTTTTGCCAATGCTATATTATTTCCTCGTTTCATATCCAGTGTTACTTTTCAGGAACTTCCTCCAGACATTTTTGTTGTTGTTGTTTTTGTTTTGTTTATTCCATCAGAATTTGGGAAGTCTATAATCTGTATGAAAGAGGTGTTTTTTTTGTTTTGCTATATTTTTAATAGCATTTGGTCCATCATGACACATTCTTAGCTTGGCAAACACAGACACATACAGAAATACACACAGACAGACACAATGTACCCATTGGTGGCTGATGACAAGAAATGAACAGGTGTGAGGTACAGTCAATAGAATCTGCAGTCTGGTCTTCAGGTGGATCCAACATATCACATTGTGATAATTTACTCTGGGTTATAATGAGCACAGGTGCTGTAATCATCATTTAGTGTCGGTTTAATATTAACCATTCTGAAGTGCTCACTAAAAAACATCTGGGATTTTTTTCCCCTCATCTCCTTCTCCTGCTCACCCTACCACATCCTTTTGCTCTTCTTACCCCCACAGAGCCTGATGTTTCCTGTCTAGATTAGAACATTCTGGCTGCATAATGACTATGTGGAAGCAGCCCTGGTCATATTAGCCTTGTACTGATGGTGTGTTCCAAAGCTTCATTACTGTGACTTTAATTAATTGATCTCATAAATTTTGCATATTGAATTCAAAGGTGTTCTTTGAATCTTCACTCAATGACTGTGCACCTATTTATTACTGAGTTGTAACAGCAATTTTCACAGAAGTAAATGCTTTTGGTTTATGTGTTTCTGGTTTTCATGCCTGATCCACAAAGGTTTTAGAAATCACTGTGTTACCCCTTTAAATGCCCTATGTTTGTATAAAAGACCTCGTGACAAGGGGCCCTAGCACATTCAATGGAAAGACTATAAAAACTTCCAGAACACTTGACATAAAACTGATGTATTATGTAATAATGTTTCTAGTAGAAACCAGGACCTCATTCATCATAAAGGACATTCCCTAAGTCCCATGCTGCATATTAAAGAAATGGTCACCCTCTAGTCACACTACAGATTTCCACTCCTAATCAGAGGTGAACAACCTAGAAGTTTTAGAGGAAAATGCTGCTGTGAAAAAAATTAATTTTGCCAAACAAAGAAGCCTTGGGACAAACTCAGACAGCAAACCCTTCATTCAGGACCCTTCTTGGGGCCTCAATTTTATCCCTTACAAATTGAGGAAATGGGCCTATAAATCTAGATGTCTTTAGTTTACTTTTTTTTGTCAGTGCAAATGTCTCTGTAGCTGCTCTATTTGCTGGACTTTAGCTTAAGTTGATAAATATTAACTAGGGAGCTAGAAGCAATCTTTTGATTAGAATGGTGACAGCACTGAGTCCTTTGGTAGGGTTGTGAAAAGGAGTGTTAGGAAATTAAACAGTGTTTTCCCTCTTCCTTATCCCTATATCTAATCAGCTACCATATTCTACCAAGCCCTGTCAGACAGTATCTCTTGCATCTGTTGCTTTATATTTGCAGTACTGCCATCCTCACTTCAACCTGTTACCAGCTTATTCTTACTTTATTTTGAAAGCCTTTTGAATGTTCTCCCTGCCTGTTCCTGTCCATTTTTGACTCTTCCATACCACCAGTCTTTCAAAAATGCAGCTTATTTAGTGGTGCTCCATTGCTTCCAGGAATAAGGCAAAAGCCCTTTGTCTTAAAGTTAAAATCACCTCATACTTTGGCCCTAACTTCCCTTCAGCAGCTTTAGCTCCCTTACACCTATCCTTTATCCCAAATAGCTTTATTGACAACTCCCTAAACACAGGTTGGTCAACACTGCTACCACAAAGTTTTGTCAGTCTTTGTACACCCTGGGAATACCCAAATTTATTCCCTCACCTCAGCAACTTCTAGGTATCCCTCCAAATCCCAGTCAAATCTCACCTTTTTCTTAAGCCTTCTAAGCCACTAAGCCTAAAGTGACCTGTCTCTGAATTTCTTTAGCAATTATTCATTTGGTGAAAAATTATTCACTGTCTTATTTCTTATTAAATTATTTATTTGTAATTTTTAATTAAAGAAACAGTACAACATGAAAGAAATACTTGAGAAATAAGAAGAGTGATAGGGTAGAGGGGCTAACCCCAAATCCCTGGTCCCTAAAAGGAAAACTTACTGTTTTTGAGAACATAGGTCTTCTTTCTCCTGTACCATCACTTATGAATTTTTGTGACCTTGAAATGGTTAACATCTGTAAGTCTCAATTTCCCCATCTGGATAATAGGAAAATAATAGTACTTACTTCCCAGGGTTGCTATATTATTAAGAGGTAACATGCGTGAAACTGAGTAAAAACTCAGCCTGGCTCAGGGGAATCAAAATTTTCTAATGTTATTATTTT